TTGTTGGGCATTACCAAACAGTTACTTTTGTCTTTGCAAGTCATATATTTGCTTTCTGGTCATATTTCTGATTGAAATCATATTTTTGTACGCATCAATGCAAATAAAGTTGTCTATTAAATTTGTGTTTTTATTCTGTCTCTTTCATATGTATTGTAAGGAGAGAATGGGAACATATACCATGACATATTTGTAGTTTGTAGTTGTAGCATTATTATTTTTATTACTATCATTTTTATTGTTATTGTTATCATTATTATTGTTATTATTATTTTGTTATTGTTATTATTATTTTGTTATTGTTATTATTATTTTGTTATTGTTATCATTATTTTTTACTATTATTTTGTTATTGTTATCATTATTATTATTATAATCATTTATTATTTATCATCATCGTCATGATCGTCATCGTCGTCATTACCATTGTCATCATCATCATTAATTTTATATGAACCCAATGTCTCGGGGAAAATGCCGTGCTCGTTTTAGAATTTTTTGTGAACTGTCTCTGCACATAGATGGTTCTGCAAATGCTTAGCTGCAAAGGAGTCAATCAGTAGACTCTCTTACCTTACCTGATTTCACCTTTCCTTGAAATTGTGGGAAAAACTTGCTACAAGTATAGCTATCATTGTCTAAAAACAATTTAAAAAATAAAGTCACAGTGGGCATGGCATATACATACATGCCATGCCTGCTATTTTTGGGTTAATAGCATCATTATTACTAGTATTGCTATTATTAATTTTATTAGTAAGATTATCTTTATTATTATTATTATATAGAATGCAACAACACGAATGCTTAGTCCTCCAAACTGTCATTTACAATTTTAGGGGGGGAAAAATGATTTCCATTACTATCATCATTATTTTCAACTCAATGCTGGCAAGAAAATGCTGTGCTCATATTATTATTTATTTATTATTATTATTATTATTTTTTTTTTTTTTTTTTTTTTTTTTTTTTTTTTTTTTTTTTTTTTTTTTTTTTTTTTTTTTTTTTTTTTTGAAAATGTATCTGCAAGTGCTTAGCCACAAAGGAGTCAATTAGTAGATCTTGTGACCTTACCTGATTTCACCTTTCCTTGAAACGGTCGGAAAAACATTTATTTTACTAAAGTAATGAATATCAATGGTGTTATTTTTATTATAGTCGTGATAAGTACTATAATGTTATTGATATAAGTAGCTGCAATATTTAATAACATTAAATATTTTTGAAAATCAATGAAAAGGGTTAACAGGTGAGACAAGTAGTACTTGTAACTGGCTCAATGGTGACTTATTACTGTTGGAGCCATCTATGCATTATTGTTATTTTTGTTATTACTATTATTATTATTTTTGTTATTACTATTATTATTGTTATTTTGTTATTATTATTATTATTGTTGTTATTATAGTTCTTATTGATATTGTTCTTTATTATTGTGATTATGATTATTTATTATTATTATGTTTATTATTATCATCATTATTATTAGTATTAATCATAAAGATGATGATCATGAGGTTAAAGGGTGAAGTCAGGCAGTCCTGGTATCTGACTCCTTAGAGACAGTATGTGTGCCTGCCATAGATATAAGTTAAATAGGAATAGAGTCACTGTAAGAAGTGAAATGAATTGTAACATTTTAATTTCATCAAGAGTGCGTCATTGGATGGTTAGATAACATGTTTTTTTTTTTACTGAGGTCAATGGGTTAACTAAAAATTTTGAATTCGCTTTCCTTACAATGTCAAGGAGGAATATGAAAAATGATTTCGTTAAGGCTAGTTTTGAATCCATATTGGTCTGAAGATTAATTATTATTGTGTAAGTAATATTTTACTGGAAAAAGAAACTGACAGCATTAATCCACTTCTAACTAAAGAATTAGTTGTTGGTTAGAGTAACACTTTTAAGTGGCTATAAAACTTTTTTTTTTTTTTTTTTTTTAGAAATAATAGTCTTTCTTATCAAGTATTTGTTGTGAACTGAAAAAAAATCATATTATTAAAAAAACAACGATATTGATATTAATAACATCAAAAGAAAAAAGAAATGTCCCAAAAACTCAAGGAAGGGAAAATCAGGCAAGGGCACACAGATTACTAATTGACTCCTTAATGGCTGAGCACTTGTGAAGCCGTGAGAAAAAAAAAAAAGAGTCCATAAACCAGTATTAATGCCAATGTTATGTTTTCCAGGTATATTTACATATTAGGGATTGCTAGCATTTGATTTACATATAAGACATTGATAACTTGGTTTGATTCATACAGTTAGGATTAGTATCTTTTAAATATCTGCAAAAGCAGAAATGGTTTTGTAAAATTTTGGTTATGAATAAGAGTGGATTACAGGTTTAACCTTTTGAATATATAATCACAAAATGGTGATTTCAAAATTCAGAAACTAGAAAGAGATTTTCCTGAAATCATATACATGTGGAAGATGATAGAATTATCAAATAAATCTTCCTTGGCCTGTAACTCAAGTCTCAACCTATTAAGCAGCCACAAGTCAATCATTTCTCCTTAAACTGAGTATAATCTATCCTGTTAAGCAGAGTGATAGCCTTTGTCTTCTGCAAAGTGACAGCCTTTGTCTTAAGCAGAGTGACAGCCTTTGTCTTTGTATACTTTCACCTCCTCTAACTTGGCTATATCATGTTTAGGAAATATCCTGACTGGGTTAGTGTGTGGCTGTTTAGCTTTTCACTATTCAGTATAAGCCTAAGGGTAGGGCAGTGAAGATACCAATGGCCAAATAATGGATAGAAAAGGAGATTCAGTTTGTATTTCAGCCAAAATATCCATGTTTCCATGCATTTAAGGTCAATGGTTCAGTGACCAGAAGAATGCTCATTTGTCAATTAGTGGCATTCCCATTCAGCAGAACTTGTTTTTTTATGTTTCAATCATGACTGTACAGTTTGTAGTCAATATTGAAGCTTAGAATACTTGAAACAATTTAAATTATATGTTTTTAGAAGAATAATTAAGAAAATTTTACATTTAATTTCACATTAACCATTGCATAATGGCAAACGAAATTATGCTTTTGAATTCAATATTTCTAATTTGATCTTTATTTATGTGGCTTTAATTAAAATCAGAATTTCTGGAAATTGTCAAGTTTATGTATAAACATATATTAAAGCATAAACAATGTGTTTTGTAAAAAAAAAAAAAAAAAAAAAAAAAAAAAATGCTGTAATTTACTTTGCTCCAAAAATTAGTAACTTGTAGAAATTATATTCTTTTTAGAATATTGTTAAAAAAAAAAAAAAAAAAAAAAAAAAACAGACCTTGATACTTGTATTATAACATTGTTTGAACAAGCAACCATAAAGTGTGATCTTTAGATTCCCAACTTTCATCTGTAGTATATGAAAAGGAAGAAGGGAGGGGTCCCAGCATGATAGCATTCAAAGATTATAGAACTAAATTTAAGGACTCATGCCACAAGTTCCATAAGTGAACAGCTTACCTTGTGACTTTCACTGCATGGTCTTAACACCTCTCACCTGGGAGTAATTTAAACTATTATCTTAAGTGTACATGGAGGGTGGCTCTGAGCCTTGAGGGCTGGCCGCAAGGAATCTTTACCAACTTTAAAAATCATATGACCACATTCTTTTCATGTTCTTATCAGGAAAAATTTTGTCCCAAAAGTTTATGCATTTTTTTCATACCTAATGTGTTAATGGCTTAGCTGTTCATGCCAAAGCTAAACTTTTCATCTGTCTCCAAAGCTGTTTGTTGCCATTTTAGGTTGATAATTATGTGAACAATCAGCAGTTTTAAAGAGGGGAAGTGTAGTTAGTATAATAGTGGTAGAGTAGGCTAGTAAATCTACTTGAGCATTAACATACAGGAATAATAGCTCCTTGTTATACTTCCAGTCTCCTTAGGAAAACTAACAAGAGTTGTCTTTGG